GCCATGGCTCCTCCCAACAAAAAAAGCTCTCTTCCCTAAAGGAGGGGTCCGACCCTCTGCTAGGGGTTCTCGTAACTTCCAAGAATACGTTTTACAAGACGGTGACATCTTAAAAGTCAACCCCCTAAAAATGACACAGATATTCGGAAGCTAGCTTTGGTGTATTTTTTTTACTTTCCTGGAACTGTAAATACATTTTGTTTGTGTTTGTCCTATTTTGAATTTAATAGGTCTCAATAGGACCCCCATAAAGATGCAAGTGTCCTATAATCTGTGATAATATGTTGAATATTTTTATTATTCCATAGATTTTATTCTTACTACACATATAGTGTTTGGAGTAATGCACTTAGTTGTATAGGACAATATTCAAAGTCAAAGCATGAGATTGAGATAACTACCTTTGTCAATAATTTGTAACCTTCAAACTTTACATCTTAAGTGAAGAATGGATAGGAGATTTTCTATAGATTTTTGGATCATTTTCCTACAAGATAATATTACTGACTTGAAACATTTCATTGTGATTTACATACCTGCAGTCATAAATAGATACATGTAGGCATGGGGTAGACTCCTATAGATTTTAAGATCTTCATTCAAAAGTATGGAAAGTTTTTAAGTTTGAAAGATTAAATGTCAGCATATCATTTGCTTGTGAATTTAAAATAAATTCAAACATATACATCTTTAGATGATAACTAGTTATTTTAATTCCTGGACTTTCTGTCTTGATATTTTCCTTTATTATCTGTAAAATTTAATGATTGTCTTTTTAGTTTAGTTGAACTAGTTTCTTATTAGCATGTGAAAATGGCATCATCCAAATAAGTTCATCTACATTTTATATGTAGGAGAATTTTCATCACAGGGAAAGAAAGAGATTGTCTTGTATAATATAATGCATTGGTACACAAAAATATCTTTCAATTTCTAACATGTTTCATTTTTGTTACATGGAATGATAAGTTCTGTTGATTTCCTACCAAAGACATACTAGTAGAGTAATAAATGTATATGATGTGTCAGAAAAGCATGTGGAAACCTAATGACTTTATCATTTCTGATTAAAAATCAAATTATGAGTTTCATCTTTGTTACATTATTAAAAAATTCTAAGTAGAGCATACACCAGAAACTCTTAAAATGATCTCTACTGTTCAATCTGAGTCTCAGGGTTTAACAGTACATAACAATTCCAAATGATTTTGGACGCTTTTTTATGTATCAAAAAGACAAAACAGAATATCTGTTCACAGATGTTCCAAAGGAAAATAACCACAAAGAAAAGATTTGTTATGTTCTTTATGTGATTCATGTAAAATGTATTTTAAAAGTGTAGCATAACATTCATCTTTTGCATAAATACTTTTCTTTTGTGGAGATTTTTTTTATATTTTTGAAAAAAAGTTGTCTTATTGTATAATAGGGTTAGCTTAAAATCTTGTAGACTTTAAAGTTGTACATGATGTGTTACACATCTTGCATATTTTCATTTCAGGGTATTCAGCATATATTGTGGTTTTGTCTTAAATTTGTTTGCTTATGTAATCAATAATTTGAGAATACTCAAATTAGAAAATGTATGAGAGAATAGGCAAGAAAATGAGGTTAAAAATGTGTTTAATACAAAGGGGTTAATCTATATATTTCACAAAGTTGATTGAGCATAATTCTCACTAGGACAGTTAGAATTATGCTCAATCAACTTTGTGAAATATTCCCAACTTCCAATGGTTCTTATTTACATTAAAAAAAACTGACTCCATATAAAATTGTTTGTTTTCTTTTTATTTTACAAGAAATAACATGCTGACAGTGAATCTAATCATTTTTTCAAAACTGGTTAAATTAATGTTTACAATTGTCTTAAAATACTCAAATGTAAGTTTATTTCATACAGAAATACCTTAAATGTATAGACTGATTGTACTTATAGATTAAATATATAGATTAACCCCTTTGTAGTAAAACATTTTTAACCTCATTTTCTTGCCTATTCTCTCATACATTTTCTAATTTGAGTATTCTCAAATTATTGATTACATAAGCAAACAAATTTAAGACAAAACCACAATATATGCTGAATACCCTGAAATGAAAATATGCAAGATGTGTAACACATCATGTACAACTTTAAAGTCTACAAGATTTTAAGCTAACCCTATTATACAATAAGACTACTTTTTTTCAAAAATATAAAAAAAATCTCCACAAAAAAAGTATTTATGCAAAAGATGAATGTTATGCTACACTTTTAAAATACATTTTACATGAATCACATAAAGAACATAACAAATCTTTTCTTTGTGGTTGTTTTCCTTTGGAACATCTGTGAACAGATATTCTGTTTTGTCTTTTTGATACATAAAAAAGCGTCCAAAATCATTTGGAATTGTTATGTACTGTTAAACCCTGAGACTCAGATTGAACAGTAGAGATCATTTTAAGAGTTTCTGGTGTATGCTCTACTTAGAATTTTTTAATAATGTAACAAAGATGAAACTCATAATTTGATTTTTAATCAGAAATGATAAAGTCATTAGGTTTCCACATGCTTTTCTGACACATCATATACATTTATTACTCTACTAGTATGTCTTTGGTAGGAAATCAACAGAACTTATCATTCCATGTAACAAAAATGAAACATGTTAGAAATTGAAAGATATTTTTGTGTACCAATGCATTATATTATACAAGACAATCTCTTTCTTTCCCTGTGATGAAAAATTCTCTCCTACATATAAAATGTAGATGAACTTATTTGGATGATGCCATTTTCACATGCTAATAAGAAACTAGTTCAACTAAACTAAAAAGACAATCATTAAATTTTACAGATAATAAAGGAAAATATCAAGACAGAAAGTCCAGGAATTAAAATAACTAGTTATCATCTAAAGATGTATATGTTTGAATTTATTTTAAATTCACAAGCAAATGATATGCTGACATTTAATCTTTCAAACTTAAAAACTTTCCATACTTTTGAATGAAGATCTTAAAATCTATAGGAGTCTACCCCATGCCTACATGTATTTATTTATGACTGCAGGTATGTAAATCACCATGAAATGTTTCAAGTCAGTAATATTATCTTGTAGGAAAATGATCCAAAAATCTATAGAAAATCTCCTATCCATTCTTCACTTAAGATGTAAAGTTTGAAGGTTACAAATTATTGACAAAGGTAGTTATCTCAATCTCATGCTTTGACCTTGAATATTGTCCTATACAACTAAGTGCATTACTCCAAACACTGTATGTGTAGTAAGAATAAAATCTATGGAATAATAAAAATATTCAACATATTATCACAGATTATAGGACACTTGCATCTTTATGGGGGTCCTATTGAGACCTATTAAATTCAAAATAGGACAAACACAAACAAAATGTATTTACAGTTCCAGGAAAGTAAAAAAAAATACACCAAAGCTAGCTTCTGAATATCTGTGTCATTTTTAGGGGGTTGACTTTTAAGATGTCACCGTCTTGTAAAACGTATTCTTGAAAGTAACCCCTACGAGAACCCCTAGCAGAGGGTCGGACCCCTCCTTTAGGGAAGAGAGCTTTTTTTGTTGGGAGGAGCCATGGCTGCAACGAAACAAGGAAGATAACTTATGGTGTTGTTGTTATGGAAACCTGACGCAATCATATTACGTCACCGGAGTGGAATTTCCCGTACTTTCTCTTTATGAATGAAAATAATGCATTCCGAGTAGACGTTCGGGAATTCTCTACTATGTCAAATCAATTCTTGTATGAAATGTTGACTATCTTGTATGAAAGTGACTGAAATTATGCTTTTAATATGAATATTGACTCAAAATAATATAAGTTTCATACATGTTTCATAGAAGAAAATGAACTTTTCATTCAAAAGTTGATGACTCGTGTCAATCCATGACCGACTTGTTTTGACACCTCACAAGACACATGATTTTAGCCCACAAAACCAATGGAGTAGATACAAGGATTAATGGAGGAAGTCCAAACTAAACTCTTGGAAGACATTAAGGCTCATTATGAGAGTAACTTTCTAGTGTTTGTTTATTACAAAATTATGTATTATGATAAAAAAAAAAGATTTCACTTTCATTTGTTGTGCCTTACTGTCCCTCACTCAGATCAGAAATGATCTGTTGGTTTTGTAGGTCTCCCTTTTATATAGACTCTCAGGTGTAATTATTTTTTAACTTGCAGAGGAAAAAAACCAATAGAGAATTTTGAATTAGGAATAATTCAAAAATCTCATTCTTTATCACTGAAAAAAAAATCTAGGTCTGAGGAGCTTGCTTAACAATAGAAAACACCAAATTTGGGTTCTGTCTTTTTTATTTATAGTTAACACAGAAATATCCGTTTGGACTGTTGAATCTCGCCTCGACAGATGGGGCAAAACTGAAAGGAAGGAGCACACAAGGCACAGCAGCATACGTGTCCACAAGGTAGAAAAACGATTTGTAATTCCTCGTCTAAACAAATGTGACATTTTCCTCGAGCCTGGACGTCTGGTTCTGGGTTCAGTAGAGGTTTAATCTCAGGTAAAGGTTTATATCCCTGCTTCTCTAAGTCCCCGACAAATATACTCATCACCCAGCTTCGTCCTTTATACTGATTGATGTAAGGACAATTGGGGTTCCAATAAGCATGTTCTGCATAAGGATCCTCCTCAAGATCCCAATTCTCTAAAGTCATTCCACAATGAAAACAGGTAGCGTTATCTTTCACTCCCCTGTAGTAAAACCCAGCTGGAGCTAGGTCTGGTATTTTTCCTGAGAGAAGTTCAGGCCACCCCTGCTCAAAAGTAGCTTCTCTCTTTGAGAGCTGAGCATACTGGGGAAAACGCATGGGTTGGTCTGGCTCGCGATTCCCCATGATTAGAAATGACCTTTGATTTTGAATAAGAATACCTTTTATAGAGAAGAAAAAACAACACATAAAAACAATTCAATTTTTATTTATTTGTAACAACAAACACACAAACAAACATATCAATAACCATAAGGTAAAGTGTTATAATTCTCTACAATTTGTCTCTTGTCATATACAATTCTAACTGTTTTCTCTGAAGGTTTATTCACGACCTCATAATCACGGGTCCTCTGGATTTTGCTGGGATAGGGGACTTTTACTTCCTCTATTTCTCCCTTGAGCATTTTTTCTAAAGTCTCTGGGCACACGATCTGGGAGGTTCGATGGTTGAAAGTGATTCCTTTGCATTTATGAACCTCGGTTCCTTTGTCCGTCCGGTAAGCATAATTTTTAGGACCTGCCGACATGAATTTGGTGATGTGATCCCCGTCTAATTCGTCGGTCCATTCTCCTAAACTATGACCCAAGGTAGGATTGAAAGCTCTTTCCTTATGTTGATAAATGATACTGTCCGTATCGAAATAAAGGCCCCGTTCTTCTAAAGGTTGTAAAGTCTCGTAGAGATGTAAGCGGGCATAGGCGGTGGTAAAACAAGCCAGGATCACGTTTCCAAAGGGACATTCTTCGACGAATTCCTGTTTGTCTTGAAAATTCACTAGAATCTTGTCTTCATCGGGGTTCTCTTTATTGTCTAAGAGTCGCACACCCTTGATGTCGAGAGTCGAATTTTGTAAGAGTTGATGTAATTCCTCTACTTCGTCCAAGTATCTGACTTTGGGTAATAACAAGCGTTGAGCAAATTTTCCCCACAGACAATTTAAAAAGAGTTTAGCAATGGTTCTTCTCACTGGATTCTTCTTGATACTGATCCTATCCATCATGAATCCTTCTTTGTCGAAGATTTGATATATGTAATCTCGTTCTTGTTCTGAGGTCTTACACTCGGGGGGAAATCCGGACGCTTCCTGTTTGATCTTGAGGAAGGTATTGATGTAGTTTTTAAATAAGTCTTGACTGCTTTCTTTGAAATGCCACACTTCGTAAATTTGCTCTAAGGTATAGCCCATGTCTAGGGCTTTATGTAATTCGCTCGTCACCCAAGTACCCGTGAGACTACGTTCCCGGTCGGTGTGTTGACATCGATCTTGAGACGTAGAGTCTTGTTGTTCGGCACACGTGCGACATAAGGGAAATAATAACTTACCTCCCGTCCGATAAGGTAATACGGGGTGAAAGAGGCCTCGGGGTGGTAAGACCCGACAGTGAATGAGACCGAAATAACTTCTCACGTCCTGGAAGTCGTCTGTGATGATCTCGGGATGCCCTATAGCTAGGGGAAAAGGTCTGTGTTTCAACACGAAAGGGTATAAGGAACACACGTCCACGTATCTCATGTCCCCTTCTTCACAATATAATTTAGTGGCATTGGTCCGGCCTCCGTACAGGGCTTCTCGAGGTTTTAAAGGATCCGGAATGTCCAGATCTCGTACAAATTGCTGTAAACTCTCATCTTGTTGCACTTGTTGATCGAAATCGTGCTCCCAGATACTACACACGTTGTACCCCATGTCCTCTAAATCTGCAGTCCTTCTGAGGGTTTTCTCGTGTAATTGTTGGTAAGTAAATTGGGTCCGGTGAGGATGAGTTTCCGTCTGTAAACTGGGATAGCAAGTGGGGCATCCGTGCCAATAACACCCGTAAAATTCGTAGACGGTACGAGTCGCTTCCTGGTATCCGTCGACGGTATAATTTCCGATCGGGACTTCGCCTCCGTTTCTGGCATGTCGCATGTGACATCCATTCTGATGACTCATCCAGGTGAGCCACCGACAGGCTTTGGCCGAATATTGTCGTGCCGGTTCATACCCGAGGTTCGGAATGATGGCAATGGTGTCTTTAGGCATGAAATTTCGACGGTAGGCTAAATTAGCAGCACTGGCAAACGTGATGGATTCCTGGAAAGGGTCCACGTTGACCAACCCCCTGAGGGTGCCTCTAAACCGTGCACAGCATCGTCTTAAAATGTCGACGTCCAAGATACAATACCCTACAAACTCTTTCTGGAAATCAAACACTTTTCCCCTCTGTTGGTCGTACCATTGGTAAAAAGCCTCTCGTCCACTGGTAGACATTTCGTCCGGTTTGTAGAAAGCTGCCGGTGGATAAGGTCCCACGTAATTCTGGTTCTGTTCCGTATTAAAAAAGTGAGGGAAATAACCTTTCTTCAATTCGTTCAATCCGAAAGCGGAGGGCATCTTGGCCAATGGAAAGGTTAAGAAACTATACGAGTCGATGAATTTGAGTCCATATGTTTCCATGGACAAGATCTTACACCCGTTCATGATCACGTTAGGTTTCAGGGGAGAAGAATGCACTATGTAATTCAAAATGAATTGTCCGTCGTATCCTTTGAAGTTATGGGCGATGACGATGGCCCCGTCGTGTACTAAAGTGGAATTCTTAGTACCTGTAGTGGGTTGAAATAACCAGTCCATGAACTTCTTTAAGGTGTCTGGTCCTTGAAATAGGTGCTGACGGGGTCCCATGTGTTGACAATGAGGACAAGGTTGGTCTTTGGGTAAGACATCGCAATGTTGACAGACGCGATGTGCCACACACAGATTAGGGACGTGAATGCCCGATTCCTGAGTGCATTCGAAATCGAAATAAATGTAAAATTCTAAGGTGCCTTTTCCCTTCTTCTTCTTCTTGGGCTTCTGTCGAACGTAGCACCGATGATCGGCATCGACGATTTTCTTACAGATCTTACACAGTTTCTGATCTCCGCATTTGTGATGAGGAAATAATTTCTTAGGTATCCAGGACTGACACTTCTCGCATAACCCCATTAAATTGCAGACAGTAGTGGTGGTCTTCTTACCATGGGGTTTTAAATGATCTTCGTAGCAGGTCCTGTTCTTAAACATTCCATGGCATTCCTGGCATTTAATCTTGATCCCTTCATCGGGACAATTAGGGGGATGTCCTAAACAAAAGGTACAGCGATGAGGACATTTGGAGCGATGGTCTGTGACATGACTGTACCCCACGTCGCAATGATCACAGTAGTAGGGGTTCCCCGTTACTCCAGCCATCGATATGATGGCATCGCAATGACGGTTGTCTAACAAAATGTTCAAACAAGTTCCATCTCCCCACCCTTTGAAGATGCGCTCTAAACAGAGTTTAGTCGAAGTAGATTTGAACTGAAATATTTTCAGACGATACTGAGGAGCTAATACCTGTTGTAATTTCGGCCACTCTGTATTTCCACAAGCTTGAGTGATATCACATCCGGCTTGTTCCATGAGGGCTATGGCTTCGTTCTTCTGATCCAAGGATTTCTTATCTCCTGACCTCATGAGTTTCCATCGTTTTTCCCATTTCGGGTCTGGATGTTCGGGTTTCTGACTGTGTAATCGAGTGACGACGATGGCTCTAGCCAAACAAAATTTATCATGGGGATTGACGATCCGAACGATGGCTCGTTTATTTTTCTTGAAAGTTTCTTTATCCAGTTGTAGATGTTTGTTTCTGTTTCCACCACTCCCCTGGGGATTCTCGATGTGTAACAGATCGAATTCCGTGGAGCCGTCGCCGATTTTGAACTCCTTTTTGGATTGTTGCACACGTTGTATTTCTTTTAAAATGACGTCTTCGTTTAAATCTTTACATTGCATAAACTTGTAAGAAATGTCTGATTCCAAAGAATCGTGATGAAGGTTCAGGCGGAGGTAATCGTTAGGATCACACTGCATCTTAGATTTGAAGTCTTGTAACATGTTTGTGAATAATCGCCGAAGGAAAGCTGTGTTTTCTTCTTCTTCTGGAAATTCATCGAAATGAACGACATATCTATTTTCATGCGCTTTAAATTTTGGAGAGGTCCTTTTTTCAGCTAGTTTCATGTGATAATACCCAGAAATGGGTTTAGGTGGTAAATCTATTTCTCTCTCGGTACTTTTTCGTTTCAATATTCGTCGAGCCTGTACCTGTTTTTCTCTAGTAGAATCCATGTCTATCAGCTGATGGCTCTGAGGGTAAAATGAGCAGAAAGTTGGAGAAAACCCGTATTTATACAGTGGATGACGTCACAATGCATAGGTAAGCATATTTTTTTTTTTTGCACACGGCCCTAAACAAACTTGAATCGCTGCCAAGTATTTACCTGTATAGTCAGCATAAACTCTATTTTTTTTGCACAAAACGTAGGTGTATCGTATATGTTTTGCACACGGCACTTTATAGGTGATGCAAACAGGTATATATATAAGAAAACGTAGGTAAAAAGTATTTTTTGCACACGGCCCTAAAATAAATCCATGCTATATATATAAACCAGCGCTGGACATTGAGGATCACTCTGCGTGAGTACTTGAAAGTGAACACAAGTAAAAAAGTTTCAGTGGTCAAGTCAGAGGTATGGAACCAAGGTATCGCTGGTTTATTGAGAATACTGACAAGAGTGGACCCTGGATGAAAACCCTAGAAGAAGCCACGCAGGATTACCATAAAACCCATTCAGAGGAATCTAACAGTATGGACTTGGGAGGAATACTTTAAAGAACTGTGGGGCTTGGATAAGATGATTCCTGAACAATCTAAAGAAAAAGTTGAAGAAACTAAACAAAAAGTATGGTTGGAAAAAAGAGTGAAATTTCCTGAAAATTATGTGGTGATAAGGAATCACTGCTCTTTTGAGGGAATAAAGGGTTATCACGACTACAAATGGGAGATCAGAGGTGAGGATGATGATGATGGTTTTCGGATTGAAACTATATACTTCCCCGAGTTAGAATCGTGTATTGAACATTTACTTCTGTACAAGAAAGAAGGAAAAGCCTTAAAAAGACCGCATCTAGGTACTTATACAGAGTATCTCCATGGAATAATTCCTTATTTTCCAAATGAAAAAGGTCTCCCTTGGATGACACGAGACTATGATGATGATGATGATGATAATTTGGACTTTATTTTAGATTAAAAGACAGCCTGTAAATTGTTGTATTTTCATTCTGAATAAAATCTGTGTTCTTGATATAATCTGTCTTGTGTATTATATGTTATTGTTTTCAGTAAAAATCCAGTTTGAACTGGCTGGCTGACTAGACTGGCTAGACTGTGAAGCGTGACGTCATAATCACATTCTTGAAATGTTTTTGCACACGGCGCATTTACCTGTATAGTCAGCATAAACAAAACGTAGTACCTACGTACCAATGTAAACACAGTGTAAACAACTCCGTATTTAGGGATAGGTTAGGGAATAGGGTTAGAGGGCTAAGGGGGGCTAGGGTTAGGGTTAGAGGGTTAGGGTTAGGGGGTTAGGGTTAGTTAGGCTTAGGGTTAGGGTTAGGGTTAGGTTAGGGTTAGGGGGTAGGGTTAGGGGTTAGGGTTAGTTAGGGCCAGGGGGCTTAGGGTTAGTTAGGGTTAGTTAGGGCTAGGGGGTTAGGGTTATTTAGGGTTAGGGGGTTAGGGTTAGTTAGGGTTAGGGTTAGTTAAGGTTAGGGTTAGTTAGGGCTAGGGGTTAGGGTTAGGGTTAGGGCTCAACCAATCAAAACTGATCACGTGATTCCTCTCAGCCAATCAGAATGCGGGGCTATCGGGACGCCTTATACTACTAACGTCATTATGACGTTCTGTAAAACGTACGAAATTCATCCATATACATTTGCTATTTTAAAGACCTCTTACAGAAAATATGTAAGAGATATTGAAAAAAGAAAGTTGGTTTGAAAAATATATATAGTCTGTAGATATATCCAGGGGCATAATTGTCTTTTTTTGAAATCAGGCCAATTTGTGAACTTTTTGACTTTTGCTCTTGTAGTATACGAATGAGACAAAGAAAAACGTTAACTTATGTTGTACATTATTACGTTGGCACTGAAAGTAGGCAATAATTTCAAAGTCGTGGTATGGGTAAAATTATTTTTTAAATCCCCTCAAAAAACGTTGCGACCCTAATTTTTTGACAGGGAAAAAGGTGCACCATTTCACCGAATTCTCTTAATGTATGTAATTGGGTTAGTCAACTTGCTTGTCTTCAAATACAGCATATGTATCCCAAAAGTAAATCACAATTGGTGCATTTTTTAAATTTTATTTCTTTTTTTTTAAAATATAGTTTTGACTGGTTTATGAATTTGATGTGTAAATTCCATTGAAAGTGGGAGAACTCCAGTCCTAACCATCGCAATACATGGGGTGCATCTTCTTTGTACGAGAAATAAAATCAGAGGTTTACTAAATAGTGTTAAACTGGTGAGGTCGCCTGTTGAGACATGACGGCATAAAGAAGACAAAGGTCACATAAAATAATTTATTAACAAATAATTATTGTTCAAGGATGTAAAAGGATCGGTGAAAAGTCCGAGCGAAATGAAGAGGTACGGGGTGGGCAATATCTTCCTCTTCCTGCTACATTATGTAATTAGGGATCTGCAAATGCAGAGACTGGACGTCGTTTACTCTGAGCCGCTTACTATTAGTAAGGAAGTCAGAGGTTAGGCACTGTGTTAAATAGATACTATAACCTTACAGGGAATAATAAAATCATAGGGGAGACCACAGGTAACCTAACGATGTTAAACTCTTATATATACCTTATGATATTGTAGTTAATAATGTTGTTCTTCAACCCCCCCCCCCCATCCTTTCTAATACCCATCCGACAGTTATTTCTTTGGCAAAAATAAATTTTCTGGGATTGTTAACACTGTAAAGGCTTCATGGTAGTACGATTTATTCTATTTTCACTTAACGTATTCAACGCACTACATTTTGTAGCGGAGTAAAAAGGCTCGATAGTCGTGAATTGAACAGGGGACCTAAGGTCCTAGTTGAGCGTACGTTTTATCCTTCAGCTAAATGCAAATAGGAGGGTTAGTATGTAAACATCCGGTTACTATAAACGACAAATGAAACGAACAAGCCTTAAAATTCCGGAATGTTGATCAGTAACTAATAATTTATATTATCCGAATCTAAGCCACAATGAACTGATTACTCTCAAGGCATCACTAATAAATTCACAGGAACAAGCAAGTAATTCATACGATTATAATGTAGTCAAATGATCCTGAGAGAAAAATATTTTTATTCTTTATGATCTTTTGCTGCATTAGTGTGAAAGCTATAGTATAAGCCCCTGAAAGGCATACAAAATCAAAATAAATTATGACTATTTAGGACATTTATTTAATTATATTTAGGCCTACTTATCATTCTGCGTACATTGTATTACAAAAATCACGCATTTTCGGGTAGAACGATTAATGTTGAACAATGCCTATATAGTTACAGATGCTGTATGTTTATATTTACTGAACACTTTGATGTT